AATAGATTATAGCATTTTATACATGGTTACGATTTGCGTACAAATTAAAACAATCCTCTTGATTTGAACCTTTGAGCGAATATTATTTATTGTGATGTCACTTCCATCTTCGACTAAACTAAGGTCAGTTGTACCATTTGATCCATGATTAAGAAATCCGTACAAATTAAAACTATGTTTCTGATTAATTATGCATGGCGATGAAGAATCTTCAAGCTAATACTATTTATTGTGATGGCACCTTTTCTAAATATCTCAAAATTATTAAATGTGTCAAAATTCCTTCTGCGACTGAATTATAGATATCATTTTATTTAACATTTGGTATTGATCTTCGAAGAAAAATTATCTAGTAGCCAAATAGATCCAAAATTAAATAAAATGTTGAAGTGTGAAGTATGAAATATTCATACTTTGCATCCGCTTCAAATTTGATATTCGGTTAATAATGTAAATCCAGGGCGGTTTCTTCAATTCGGTTGAAAACTACTTTGACTAGTTCACAATCATAAAGACAAGAATGTCTTTGGCTGGATTGGAACTAACTTCTATTTGGATGTTTCAAATAGTTTGGCACAATAAAGCCATCAAATCATTGCCATCACAATGATCATTATAAATCTAATTTCCTTTTTCATTGTCATATGTGATTTTTCAAAAAATAGACCAAGAAAATTGTAATATAAATAAATCATAATTACTGACACTATCGAAATCAAAATTGTATATGATATACCGTGTATTATACACTAAATAGTCGTGTTATGCATTTGTCTCAATCAAAGTTAATTCCTTCCATGACATGTTATATGCTCATGTTATTTTATGTAGAAGCAAACCTATGCTCTCTTCAAATATTCATATCGTCAGTCATATTGAAATAAATTTAATTGTTCTGGTTCCAATAGATTCGCAATTTCGTTATTATATTATCGTTAGTTATTGTTGAACCTCAATAACAGTGCTTTTACTTCAATTCATTCATTATCTCTTGTTTCATGTACGTAATAATTTTTCATTCCATTCATGATACTCCTATTACCATAATCTATTATCTTAACATTTCCTATTATTTTCTTTATTATAAATTTTATTTTCTTTTCTAAATTATTTATTTTATTTCCAAATTTGTTTTGTTTTCTTCATAACTGCTATATATTTTAACTAATTTTACATATTCAAAGACTAAATCACACATTATTTAGTTTTATTATGACAACATTGATTGATTTCGAAAAAAATCACAATCAAGAAAACTACCGACAAATTTACAATACATTACATACTGATTTACTAACGCGTTTGTTTTTTTTAGATTTATTTTCGCTTAATAAGAAACTCATGAGCAAATAAAATTATATGTAACATAGTAGCACACGTAACTAAACAGCTCAATATCATTCGGACCATTTAAAAAATAATTAAAAAAATGTCACATTCTAACAATTTTCTAGATTTACTAAAACACGATCTATGCTTTTTATGTAGTGGATTGGCATGCAACACTGTACCAAATGGAAATAAGAATATTTGAATATTCTTTAAATTCAAGATGTATAACTTGATGTTGCCTTCTACAATTCTAGTATTCTATTGATGTTTTAGATTTTGAGTTCTCTACATGGTGCACCACTAGTACTACAACCTGGTAATACTTTAATTGCAAGTATTACCTTGATAAGATTTCCATTAAAAAAATTGTCATAAGACAAATAATGAAATTGTTCGCGCCAAACACGCAGGCTACATAGGATGTCGTAATTTACGATAATGAGAATAAATGTGGTCATATACCTTGTTCGTGGGCTCTCAATGCCCAGAAAACAAACTATTTCTCCATTGAAGGTTCATAAAATAATTAAGGGGTGTAAGCCCCTTCCTGATACTGTGAAATACGAAAATTGTCACGGGGAGATGCGTAGCTACATATAACGAAAAACGAACAAATAGAGGATAGCCCCAATATAGAGAAAGGTACATTATTTAATATCTTTATATCATATCATTCAACAAAACATTCATGTTAATATTTATTGCAGAAGTGATATGTGAAATTGAACATGGAGAAGTAGAGGAAAGTCCCAATATGGAGATGGGTAAATTATTTAAAATTTATATATTTAAACTATTTATTAAAATCTTTTAAATTCCAATAAACAAATTCATACGTCTCAATATATATGTCGCATAGAACAAGTTGGATAGCATCATGAACACTCTATTCAAATTATCGTTGGATAGTCCTAAGTATAGTTGGATAGAGGTAAAGAAAAAAAGGGATTCCGGTCACAGGTAATCCGGTCACAGGTAATTATACACCGTGAGCTATTTTTTGAGTGATCTTTTTTATTTTAATAAATTTAATTCGAAAGAAAATTGGAAAACCACCAATTAGATTTACACCAGTTTCTCGCAAAGGTATATGCATTTGAAAATTACAATAATATTAATTACTTGTATTTTTAAAAACTGTAAGCTATTGCAGAGTGTCAAACAAAAACGCTGCAATGCCTTGACACCTCGAGTCCATAAGATGTATTACACATCAAACATTTTGATACAGTGCGAAGAATTATTAAACAAAATACAAATTTACGGAACAAATTTCAGCAGAGCATCAAATGTGCAGAAAAATTCTCTTGTATTCAAGCAACGTTAAATTTAAGGGCATGTCATAAAATGCCAATTGAGAGAACATACAAAAAAACCGAATGGAAGAAAGTTCACATTTGAAGATAAAATTCTCGCATTGACATTTTATAAAAATGTCGCCAAAGGCCTACTATTTCTGGAGGCAAATATTTATATTGCCGAGTCTTTGAACTTTTAGAAATTTACTGTCGCATATCCCATTACATGTTGGAATTAACGATAAGGTTTTCCAATCATTAGAAGCCGGTATCTCTCGCAAAGGAGATATTTGCAGCAAATACTGTGTATTTATGTTTTCGACGAGATAAATTTATAATATGATCAGGAAAAAGATCATTCTGATCATATAATAGAGTTTGAACAACACGCAAATGGCAGGAAGCTTTTACTTGCAGATCATGCACTAGTTTTTATGTTGAAGCAAATTAAAGATCGATGGAAGCAGCCTGTTGCTTTTTCCTTTTCAGTTGGTAGAGTCAATAGTTCAGATTTAAAAAGTCTCATTGTTGATATCCCTCGAAAAATATTTAGTATTGGTTTAATAATTATAGCCACAGTTTACGACCAATACTCCAGAAACTGTAAAGCAATACTCCAGAAACTGTATTAATGTTATTGAAAGACACCGAACACCATTATAAAACTAAAAATCGAAACTCGAACGAAGTGAGTTTTGAAATTGATGGGCACGAAATAATTCCGTTGTTTGGCCCTCCGCATTTATTAAAATGCATGCGGAATAATTTTGCAAAATATAACGAAGTTTACAAACTTAGACGAGAAGGAATATGAGCCTTCCTGGTAAGATATTGTAAACTATTATGACTATGATGCAAATTGCAGATTGTTCCGGTGATGTTCTTCATTAACTGAAAATAAGATGAAGCGGATGGATGAAATTGGATGAATGATGGATGAATTTCAAGCCTGGCAGCTCAAGTTTTTTCCCAACGCAATGAGGATGGTTTACAGAACTCCGGTTACTTGGAAGCGAATGGAAATTCTGCAACATTTGGAACTGGAGAATTCTTGATTTTTATGGACTGTTTATTTGAGAGCGTGAATGGATTGACTAAATTGCCAGTACGAGGTAAATAATTTCGTTGTGCTGTTTCTAACCAATCACAGCATATACAATTTTGGCATAAAGCTAAGAAAGTGTTAAATTCAATACAGTTTATAAAGATAAAAATTTATAAGAGAGTATTAATCCCGCGCAATGAAGTCCTAATGATTTTAACGGATAGGGAGATAAAATCCTCTTGGAAAAAGAAAATTGTATCGGAGGCATTTACGCGGCCGGCGAAGATCGGAGATGTCCTTTGGGCGAAATCCTTCCTCAACCATGTGGTTGGGCTGTGTGCCATATCCGATGCACACTATGGTTACGATATGAATGCTGTCGGCCTTAGTTTTCAAAATTTAAACGCCCATTCTATCGCTCATTGCGGTCGAATATGAATACAGACACGACGTAGAGAAGTCTGCTTCGTAGAATTTTTCAAGGAAAGGATCATATAAGCAACTTGGAGCACCACTGATCGAAATAATACGAGGGGCACTAATAAACCCCATGGGGAAAATCACGGCAGCCGCGGAAGCCTACGCAAAGACCGCACTTTTTTGGTCGTATAAGAAGTCAATGTTGTTCGAATATAAACTTTAGTTGCTATAATTTTGTTTCCGCTTTCAAAACATTGTTAATAATTTGTCATCGCGTCACTCACCTTCATCGAATTGCGAGATGGATATACAAATGGATTACTAACGACTTCCCGACTGGAAATTGAAGTATGGCGCGGATCAGGGCTGCCCTAAATTAAGTAGGGTCCCAGTGCGGCAACCGTACTTGGCCCCTATGCGATATGTAACGCCTTGCCGGATAAGGTCTGTGTTGGGCAAACTGTTCCGGGCCCTAATCGAAAATATGAAATGGCCCCTATAAAAATATCGAACTTGGCCCTTAACTTAAAATAAGCATATGGCCCTGAAAATAATATGTGATATGGCCCTGAAAAATATATTTGATATGGCCCTGAAAAATATATTTGATGCGGCCCTGAAAATAATATGTGATATGGTCCTGAAAAATATATTTGATATGGCCCTGAAAAATATATTTGATGTGGCCCTGAAAATAATAATTGGCATGGCCCATAAAAAAATGCATATGCTAAATTTTTTTTATTAATTCTTTTGATAACAATATTTTAATATATAATAACAATAAACAACAAATGTTAATTAGGTTTTATTGGTCCGCCTATGATCTCTCCCATTCTCCCAATCACGGGAATAATTTATAACCTTCCCGAGGGCTTAGTTAAATGCTTGTTGCTCTTTAATAGGGCTCAACTGCGGATTTTTAATTGATTCAGTTGTCATTATACCTGTAACAAAATGTATAGCCATAAATAATAAAATCATCTATGTGTACTGTGTTAATAATACCTACCATATAAACACTTCACAAGTTCACTGTCTTTAAGACATTAAACACTAAAAAAATAAAAACTAAAAATTAAAATTAAATTATTCGATAATCATAAAAAGAAAAATACACGATAAATTGTTAACAAGAATACACTTACTTGAAGCATTGCGCGACTTATTGCCTAAATTTATGTTACATTCCGACAACTGCTGATCGACGTTATTCTGATTTACAAAACGCCCTTTATTCAAGCGGTATTGTTTTTTCAGAACATCTTGCCTTCTGTTTATGGTTTCTTCATTGTCCGTAGAAAACGCATATTCCTTTTGTTGCAATATTTTTAACTTTTCCAAGGCAATTTAATATGTATCTGAAATTACAACTCAAATCAAAGATATGTTTATATATATATATATATATATATATATATATATATATATATATATATGTGTGTGTGTGTGTGTGTGTGTTTGTGTGTATATAACAAAATACACAATACGTAGTTGATCAATAACACTTACTCGCGTAATCTCGTACATCCACCTCATGAAGACTCCAATTATCCGATGCTGGTGCCGCCCGATGCTTCACCAAATCTTGAAGAAGAAGTAAATTTTCTCCCGATAGCTCATAATTATTTAAAAATGGGCATTCGAATTTATCTTATCTTTCATTATATATCAACCAATCCACCGGCACTACATCGATACTCTATTTTCACTTGTATCATTGGGAAATAAAACAACACAATACACTACTTTTCCACTGATTATTAAACGATAATTACACGACGTTCTTTTAAAACAAATAAAAATATATCGTAATAATATTTCGTAATTTTCGCACTTCCTATTAAACACATAACGACCGCTTAGCTTGGCATTCAGTAATGAACTAAAAAACTAACAATGGTCCTCTTTGATAGAAGATGAAGTTCTTACATACATGTATTGGTATATATATACTTATATATATATATATATATATATATATATAAATATATATATATATATATATATATATATATATAAATTTTTATGGGTCGTCGAATAAAAAAATTAATGTACTATTAATTTTTTTACGTAGAACTTCAATATTAGATCTATTTGAACTAATATCAGTATTTCTGTCCACATAAAAAAATTGTTCGAAATAATATTTGACAAAATGTTTGTTGCCTATTCGTATTATATGAGCAATCATAAATGTATATTGTTCACAATCTGCTGTACGCCGGCATCTATAAAGTTAACGTGTGACATAGCGCCGATCTTTCTTACTCTTGCCCACTCTATTTCATTCGATGTTAATGTTTAGCAGTATTTAGAATATGTTAAAATGAAATGTAAAACTTTTGATATTTATTATTGAAGTAAAATTATGTAAATTTATTTCAGTTTTTCTACTTGTCCTATGTCAAGGTCCTATGCTTTAGATAGACCAAGTACGCATAAGAAAAAGGTCATCGATCCTGTTTCTGATTGTTACACTTTCGATACTCGATATGAGTTAATATTCATGTATAGTCTAGACTCTAAAATGAATAAATACGATATATGTGTGCTGGACGAATTTTCTAAGAAGGTCCTATATCTTATGCAAACAGTTCACGTACGCAGAATTGATCTTATTATTTCTACTTATTACATTCGATATGATTATTATATATATATATATATATATATATATATATATATATATATATATATATATATGAGTGAGTTCTTGAGGGCGATACATCAAACAAAGAAAAGCCAAAGATTTATAAAATAATCTTTATTTCCAAACATTTCGACATTCAATTTAATGTCATCATCAGTGGATATTACGTTGGTTAGTTACATATAGAGAAGTGTACACAGCACTAGAGATTTGGCACTAACATTTATACAACTAACTTGTCAGCACTATACATGCCTCGGTACTAGCAAAGTACAGAAGTCGTGGCAGAAATTACATAATTCTACTTACATTTTTGTTCAATAAAACTATCATTTTTCTGTTTACATCATACAAAAAAATTATATAAAAAAATGCATAGTGCTGACAAGTTAGTTGTATAAATGTTAGTGCCAAATCTCTAGTGCTGTGTACACTTCTCTATATGTAACTAACCAACGTAATATCCACTGATGATGACATTAAATTGAATGTCGAAACGTTTGGAAATAAAGATTATTTTATAAATCTTTGGCTTTTCTTTGTTTGATGTATCGCCCTCAAGAACTCATTCATATATTTCAACATCAAAATTAACTACTAAATCATATATATATATATATATATATATATATATATATATATTCTCAAATTAAAGGCGCAGCTATGGGATGTCCCTTATCTCCCGGAATCATCGACTTAGTTTTACAAACACTAGAAATTTCCGTTTTCTCAACTTTAAAATTTCAAATTAACTTTTATATTAGATATGTAGATGACACTTTTTTTATCATTAACAAAAATCATATAAACACAGTACTAGATCTCTTCAATAATTTTAACAATAATATAATTTTCACACATGAACTACAAAATAACAACAGACTTAATTTCTTGGATGTATCCGTTTACAACACTAATAACTTTATTCGAACAAATTGGTATAGAAAAACGACATGGTCGGGTAGATACTTACACTATTCCTCATACTGTCCCAGAAACTATAAGATAAACACTATTATTTCCCTTACAGACCATGCTATTTTGTTGTCTCACCAAACTTTCCATCCACAAAATTTATCCCTAGTAAAAATAACTCTAATTGAAAATGGTTACCCAAAAAATCTCATTCATTCAGTTATTCAAAAAAGACGAACTTTCTTAAAAACACAAATTAATTCTCCCAATACCAGTACTAACATCAAAAACACCAATCTTATTTACTGCAGCATACCATACGTTGAAGATTTATATTATTATTTTGCCAAAATTTTGTTAGAAGAAAACATTTTAGTATCAGGCTCATCCTTACACTCCTTCAACCAATTCTTTACGAACATTAAATCCCCCACCCCATCCAATCTCAATACTAATGTAGTATATTCTGTTTCTTGTAATGACTGTGCTTTTCAATATATTGGACAAACCTCCCAATATGTACACAAGAGAATGAGACAACATGAACTAAGTGTGGTCCACCATAAACAAAAAAATTTCAAAAGTACCCTAGTACAACACTCTATAGAAAACGCCCATTCATTTAATTTCACTCCAAAGATTTTATATCACGAAAGTTGCATCTTTAGAAGGTTATTCGCGGAGAGTTGTCTCATCCTCATAAATGTTTCTAACAGTGTCAACATTAGATCAGATCACAACCTATTACATGATTCATATTTAAATTTTTTACACTTTTTGACAAACAATTAATATCGACTTCCTTTTAAGATCAACAATTTAAGTATTCACACCCTGACATATAAAAACACACACATACAATCTCACATCTCTCGTTCAAGTGTTTACACGTGTTACAAAGGGCACACCAGTTTCATTTAGTTAATTTTTGAAAGCCAATCGAACAACATCCTAGAGAACAATATTATTTGTGTTTTCAAATAATAATTTTAAAAAAAAAGACAAATTTTTTAGTAATTTTGATTTACAAAATCTAATTATTCGGCGGAAAATTAACTCACAAAATCATTTTTGTTAAAAAAGCTTGTTTAGTGAAAAAGTGCTAACAAATATTCAAACATACAGGTAATTAATTCAACTTTGTCATTAACCTTTTCTTAAAAAATTTTCCATAACTTTCAAAAAAATTTTCTATTATGTTTTAATATCCTGTTCTGATAATCCACTCATTTATTTTTATCATTTTTATTTTGAACATATTATCATATCATATTTCTGTACATTATTATATTTTTTACAATTTAATTCATTATTTAAGAAAAATCTATTTTCTTTTCCTAAACATATTGTTTGCTAAAATCTCATCAAGATCATGTTTCTTGACAGATGTCCTGAAGATGGAACGTACCTAGTTCCGAAACGTCGACAATAAACAAATAATTAAATAAAGAAATTGTTTTTTTAAAAACTTTTCTTGTTTTTTATTTTGTATTATTTTTGGATTCTTGTTCGAAACTCTACAAAATATATATATATGTATATATAATTTCAGTGAGGAAACTACTACTATTATTAATAAATTGATCATAACTTATAGTACATTAATTTTTTTATTCGACGACCCATAAAAATTTATATATATATATACTCGTATATATATATATATATATATATATATGATTTAGTAGTTAATATATATATATATATATATATATATATATATATATATATATATTATATATATATATATATATATATATATATATATATATATATATATGTCTCACATGACAAAATCGAAAAATAGTAATATACCTAATACCTTCTAATCACAAAAAGTATTATTTTTATTAAAAAATTATTTTATTGTATTCGCTATAATTTTAATATCTTGTTATATAATCGATTCAATAATTATTTTTGTTGTTAATAAATTTTATGTAATTTCCTATCTTTCATGATTTTATTAATTTTATTAAAAAAAAACACTTTTTGGTTTTGTATTACCATTGGATTTTTTGTTCAAAGTTGTAGAAAGCTTTCGTAAATTCGTATATTATATTTATAATATATTGATAATAATGAATACGGTATCATGCAGATTATGGAAAGAACGAAGAAATATATTGTTACCGATTACATATTGTTATTATTTATTAATAGTTATTTTTTATAATTCATTTATTGTTTATTATTTATTATTTCTTTATTATTAATTATGTAATTTATTTCTATATTTATTTTAGACTATAACGACAATCATTGATCAATAATACACATTATAATCCTTTTTTTTTTACAAAATATTAATAAATCAAACTATTTTGATTCTATTGATATTGAATCCTAGTAGGATTCAAATAAAGAATGCAGATAGGGCTTGTCTAAATAATCTGTGGGTAAGCCGTATTAGGGCTCTAGTAATGAATTTCCAATACGGACCGTATCATCATATCATGGGCAATACGCATTAGGGGTACAATAGGGCATCCGAATATGGCCAGTTTCAATTATTATAGGGCAATCCGTGTTAGGGCTGAATTCAGGCATGCCTTTTATGGACCCTATTCAAATTACCATATTAGGGCCGCCCATATATGGCCCCTATGAGGGCCATGCACTAAATTCCGTAATACGGACGCCGGAGTACAGCCCTATAGGGGCCTATAGGGGCCGGACCTGAGTTAGGGCTTGCCGTAACAAATTTCCACTCGGGTTTTCGAGAATTTTTAAATATTGATTTCTCAGAAGTAAAAAGCTATATATTTTAAAACGTTATTATTATACTTAAACAGTATAGAATTTTAAAATTTTCACGTGAGCTAATTGATTTGTATGATCTTATCTAATTTAGATAATAAATATTTGTTTCAGAGACCATATATCAATTTAATGAATTGAAATTTTTCTTCATATGAATCAATCGAGAATAAATCAAGCAAATTTCATAAAAATTCGGGAAACAAATATCAATTTAAAATTTTTATTAAAACAATTATTAA